ATCTTCCCTAGTGGTACGTGGCACCCTTTTGATCTAATTAGTTTAGATGCCTTTATTGTAATATTTGTATATATAAAAATAATAACACCCATGTCTGTTTTTGTGAAAATGTATGCTTCATGGCGTGTATATTCATTGCAGGTCAAACGCCGAAACCAACAGTACAACAGGAGGAAGTGGACCAAAATTCAAACTGTTGTAAGTAATACCAATTGCTAACAGGGATTTATTCATTTTAACCCCAGCCTCCGTCACCTTTTGAAACGTTCCCTTGGCTACTGAACCTTCGCTTTTTTTACACTACTTGCGCGTGTAAAGGTTGTTGACATTAAATCGCACTAACTGCCTTGGTTATGCTGGCGTCAATAGCATCAAAAGCGTCAACAAGTTATTCAAGCATTATTTATTATCAGCTGCCCTTCTGAAGGAATAGAGATGTTAATATGTTGATGTAATTCAGAAATACGTGATATTAACACAACTAAAAACAAGTGTAAGCCCAGAATTAGTCATATTAGTAATTGGTCACTCACTCACTCCTTGATCCTACGTATGTTTAATGTCTTGTAATGAAGATCTCAATGGAGTTCCTGGTTGTGGTCCATTTCCAAGCACTGTCCAACTCCGCAAGACTCCAAGGCTGTAATTTTACAACCACAAGCCTGACCACAACTTTAAGGAAGCTATACCACCCAGCCTGCATCCCGCTCTATATAAATTTATAATCACCCCCAAAATGTTTCATGGTCAGTCAGTCCACTCGTCTTTCCGCTAGTCTTCCCTCTGCCTATTTATTTGTTTATTTGTTTTTTATTTGGTTATTTATTAGCCACATCAAACAGCAGAAATACCACCAGTTACAGGAATGGAAATGAATGAACTCAAATAAAGAACATTATAAACAAAAATACTAGATAGTAAATAACAGATATGTATGTACATGTGTAAATTAATGGAGAATACACATAAATAAATCAGTTGACAAGAAAAACAAGACTACACAAAAACTCTAAGGGAGAATGACGGTAAACCAGGAAATAAGATGTTGTAGGTGTGGAGGGGAATCATTACCCAGGGGAACACAGGTGAAGTGACTAATGAAAAAAAGACAAACAATAAACCGCAGACAAACATATTAAGAAACATCAAATACAACACAAATAAACAGACACCTGAACATCTGGGTAAACAAACATGTACTTGTACATTGTACTAGGGGGACTGAGGACACACAAACAAGAAACAAACAATAAGAACATTCAAATCATGGTCAGATTAAACTGAAACAACTTGCACAATAAAACGGTAAATTAAGAACTGATTTGTGTCTTCAACTCAGTCCAATGATAATAGCCTGTCTTTTCCTAACAATACATCGTGGACCCACTCCTTGTCGGGCCACGCTTATCAACTTGTATGTGGCAAATACAACTTTACACAAGGACTGTACAAAGTAATAAAGCCACTAGCAAATGACAGGTAAGGGAAAACCAATTTAATGTGAACCATAAAGGCCTTCCTTTCTAATTAAAAAAAATAATAATTTAGACATATTGATCAGCAGTTGTAACATCTACACATTAGAAGGACATATCATTGTTACAAATGTTTCAAAGAATATAGCACAGACATATAGTTCAGCAATGAAAACATAAAAGGACCATACCAGAAATGAAAGTGATAAGATTGAATAACGTTATTTAATAAATTACAATAATGAATATGACATTCACCCATATACAATGCACATTTACTTTGGTACAAGCTGCTAAGTTAGGTCATCAGAAGACAAATGCAATCTGCAAATATTAATCCAAGTATGCAAGAGTTGATTGATAACACCCCTTATTATAGGAGATTCAGGGAGTGCAACATTAAATTTAAAGCTAATGATACTTGCATGAATGTACAGGGGAACAACACCAGTGGATAGACAGAATTACAATTATGTTCACTCCTTTCCTTATTTCAAGGAGAATAGTTTGAGAAGGGATATGAAGGAACACTGTTGTTGTTGTTGTTGTCTACAGAGCTTTAGTTATTGATTGCCCAAAAGTTACTCTTTTAAGCATGTAAGTTTCAGTTATTGATCATGACTCACTCACAGTCCTCGAATGGGTTTTGTAAGTTCTGAGTGATAGGTGTGACCTTGTCATTCCTAAGACCCTGGTCTTGGTGCTTTGTCCTGCTTTGCTCTGTGGCAGTGATGTAGTCGAGTACTTTTTGAGAACCAACTTTCCTACCAAATATTTAACTAGTTAGGAGTGAACAAAGCTAAAGTACATCGGCATTTTAAGGTACATGCATAAAGTAAGATTACAAAGCAACATAATGACTTCAGACCATCACTGTTTGATTAAAATTAACTTTTTAGGATAAAAGTACTCGACCGAGTACTCTCTAAAATAAATTTAAGGTTGCAGTTCATCATAGTTTTTTGATATGTCAGCTGAGTCCTTAACAAGAAGATATTATATTAAGATGCAAGCCATTACGCTGCTGAGAACATTCCTTTAGTCAATGGATCAATGCAGGTTTATTTTTGAAATGGTCATAAGTGGCCGAAGATCCTTTTAACTCATCATGATTGATTAAAGTAGACTTTAATTAATGTATCAATAGTCCACGAAATTACTGTTCTGAATTCAAAGAATATAAAATGAATTTGTCTTGAAATTGTTAAGCCTAGTTTCACATCAGAAGTCTCGAGCCAATTTTGGGGAAGTCTCATTAACATTTCTGGATGGTACCCAGGGAAACAAACTCGAACAAAATGGATTATGGAAAAGCTAGATTGACTGTAGTTTCATTAAACTGTGCTGTCTTAATCCAATGTTTAGGTGATTGCTATTAGTGCTGTGCATCCGGGAACAACACAAATAGCTTTTAACACATAGAATATTTTCAGTGGATGTTTATTGTCATATTCTGATGACACATACATACAGTACTTACTTGTCGGAAAATCCTTCAGCCCAAATGTATTGCAGAGACTACAGAAAAAAAACATGATATCTTTATTGACCTACTGAGTGGGTCTGAATGTCTGATCATGGAAGACCAAAACATTTTGAATGAATGACAAGAAAAGATGCTGTAAAGTACGAGCTACATGGAGTATTAAGACACATTCTTTCGTGCCAGCAGGCAGGCATAAACAGTAAGCCCCTTTTTCACTCTATCCAGTCCCTTTTTATTGTGAGTTACCCTCCTCTTGGGGACAGATTAATAAGCCCATGAAACTGTACACCCCCCTTTTACCCCAGATAATTTGCCCACTGTTTGATGACCCTCCATACGAAGAGGCTGAAACCTGGCGAGTACTGTCCTCTCTATCTCTGAGTCAGATAACATGATTTCATTGTGTCTCTAATCAGCAGAGATGGTGACCCTTTCAAGCACAGACATGTATTAAATTGTTGGTAACTGTGTCCAGGGCAACTTCACAAACTCATGTGTCAATCTGCTTGAACATTCCTGCCCTGTGACCAACTGTAGCGATTGAAGGTGTGTAATTCAGTTTCTGAGCTAATAAAGGCCTACTGAGATTTTCTTTCTGACAGTCCACTTGTCTTGAGAAAACCACACACGCATACATTCTATTGTGTCTAGTCAAGCGATAATAATTGTTGAATGCTGTGGTTTGTTACTAAACAGTAATAAACAGTCGCTGATAAGATCCTGTTACCACTCAGGTGTTGTTTATTTTTGGTTAATAAAAAGATGGCTTTTCCTGCTACAGATAATTCAGCAGATGCCAGCCATCTGCTGTACCTGGTCCCATTATCACATCGTACACATTAAATAATCTCCTTTTAATAAATATGTGTTCTACCATGGTCGGACTTATTGTACATGTACATGCACTCAGAAAAGTCCCTTATAAGTGTCGTATAAATCTGTTGACAAAATAGGGTTGAAGTATCAATTTCTTCCAACCTAATGATTACATGGCTTTGACACTATTGGAATGATTTGAAAAGATCAGCATCACATAAAGAAAATTTCTCCACGATCATATGCTAACATCATGGCTTTAATCACTTATGCTTCCTAAATTAGGAGTGTACGTATTTCAATTCAAAACTCATTCATGTAGATCCCAATTTATATTGTTATTTTCTCCTTTTTAAGATNAAAATCACTTGAGTTACATTGATTGATTCACACCCACACACGTGTTGGCTATCTACATAGAAGTTTACAGCCACTGCAAAGCTTGAAACCTGAAGACTAAATCTGAAATGTTCAATCTGTGATCTAAGTTTGTATCCACCCCTCCCCATCACCTACTCCTTCTTTTTATTTGCTTCCACGTCCTTGGTGTCTTCCCAAAAATAAATTTAGTTACATCAGCTTTTCCTTTAGTTTCCTTTTCAAGGACTGCATGTGTTTAAAACCACAGCCTCTCCTTCAGATGTCAGTAGTTTCATTACACGTTCGTAGAATTTCTTCGTGATAATATACCTAATTTGTCTTTTTTTTCAGAACTTCATATTGTTTTCAAACCTTATTCAACATATACAAAGTGACACACTTTCATGTTACTGATAAATGTCATCACAAACTTCTCCGCATCTTTCTTTTTAATGAATATAAGGAAAAAACCTCAACTACTTGTTGAGAATTCTGCCCTTTACATGAGATCCTGTCCCAACACAATCCCGAGACATCAACTCCATCCCCAAACTCAGCACACATTAAAATCCACGACTGAAAATACAGAAATGTGAATTTCTAAACATTAAATTCCACTTATGCAACTAATTTGTGGGAGTTCTGTTATTACACTTGTTAAAGGACAAATACCTTCCAACCGATTAGTGAGATATGGTTTTTAAGAGTAAAATTTGAACATGGTTATACTGCTCGCGTAAGACCACCTGCAAATCATCAGTTGTGATATTAATTAGCACGGTTTTGGTTAGGAATAGCTTTTGTGGAATCATGTAATATGATTTTTAGATTTTAACATAGAGTGGTATATCAATTTCTTGCAGGCTTCAAAATGGGTATCTACAATGGGAGCATCAGTGTCTTCATTTGTCACAATGAGGCTAAACCAGGGAGGTCTGGAAAGGGGTGGTATGTATTTTTCCGCCGTTCCTAATTGTAACAAAATGCATCAAGTTGCAGTGAGTTTATCAGAATATTCTTTTTTCTCATGTTTGATGTTTTACATTTAAGTTCCAGCTTTCAATGGGAACTTTTGCGGAGGACCCATTTGTGATTGGAAGATTCAAAGAGGCTGCAATACAGCATCCTAGTAACTTATTTGGATCAAACTATCATGGTAAATATTAGAATATTCCTATCGCCAGAATTGTGTTTGTGTTTGTTGATTGCTTGGTTACCTGGTATAACTAGTCATCATTTACAGCAGCTCTAATTCTTGAAGTGAAAGCACATTTGTTTACTATCCATACTAAACAAAAAGTAAAGTGTAAAATAATTTTCCCCCTTAAAAAAAAGATGGGAAAAGGACATAGCTCTGAAAACAAGAAAAACTACTGCTTACCTTCCATCCACAAGTGTGCAAAATCACACCCGAAAGGCTATCAAAACTAACTTCATGGTGTGTTAATAACTTACTTTCACTTCTTGATACTAATTAATTATCACCTCCTTTCAATTTGTACCCTTTTAGTGCAACATCGTAATGCAATCTGTTCTCTCCGCAGTATTTGAGTGAATTCAATGATAATATACCGTCATCATGTGCTTTCATGCACATGACAACGGACGGGTCAATGGTTATCTCAGGCTGTAATCCAAAGGACATCATCAGTCACACATTACGGACAGAGGCGGCAGCCACAGCCAGAATTGGAGCATATTCAGGTGAATTTACTGATTGAATTGGTCATTGAAATAAGCATGAATACACTGATGTTTTTTATTACATTTGTCTTGTGAGAAAACTCTTATATAGCAGGTTGTGCAACACATGAGTAACTGATTGCCATGTGATAGGATATATGGTTACAATTTATCATCATGCAACAATTCTTTGAGTAATATATGTGTAATAATATAACTATAGGTTTCCCGAGGCGCTGTTGGGGGAATCAATGTCAATCACCTGTACACCAAAAAAGCATCTTGATTAAGTTTGGGGGAATTATAAATGGGATTTAAGCCTACAAACTCTGAAATACTATCCAGTATTATTCTACCAACAGAGCTATCCAGCTGTATGTTGTCGGGTTTTCCCAATTGCTAATAGCTCTGTTTGGCGTGTGCTAGCCAGAAACCATTAAACCTAAATACCATGTAGCCAGGTATCGCAACATTTTCACTTAGGTTTTTTACCAACAAACGGTAAAATTCCCCCCCCCCAAAAGTCTTCTGAGCCTGTAATCTGCAATTGTGCCTGTAACTCTTGAATGTAAAATGGCTCACGTGGTTTTATAATTGAATTTAAGGCCCTTTACAAGAGAGGCAATATTTTCCCGACACTGGTTAATTTGAGAAATCAGCAAATTATTGTGTTCTTTCTGATGCGATTTGTACTTAGAGTTCATGAATACAATATTTGGGTTAATAAGATAAATAAGATTAAGACAGCAAAATTTTGTATTCGTGCATTAAAAAAAATGATTGCATATGGTGATACTGCAGATGGAGAGTTCTGTTTCTTCATTGGATGTTTACTAACATTGAAATGACAATTAGCATTTTTTTCATATCTAGGAATATGCTTCATTAAACTTACATCATGAAATATCTGCAGAAGACCATTATTCAAATAAAAATGACTATCACATGATGAATGACTGCCCTTTTCACAGGTATTTAAAAAGTAGGGTGGGCTGGGAAACCATAATCATAAGCATTTTATTTTTGGCCTAGAGCTGGAATGCTTCGGTCAAATTATGCACTTTCTGCTACCACCTGTTATTTTTCCAGTGAAAAGAAATTGTTTCAGCATGAGAACCAGTATGCACAAGTTATTTTCCAGTAATTATCAGTTGATCGAATGCAACTTACTGAAAGTTAAGATGCAAGTTTTTTCTTGTTAATACAGTCTTTTGACAGTTGAATATGCCACTTTATTTGAGACCAGAGGAAAACGTGAGAGCAATAAGCAATCCACTTGCGTTACTCTCATTTATTATTATATGTTTAAATGTTTTGTCAGAAATTACAAATAATTCTTCATGTATCCTGAAAAGCAGTTAATCGATATAGACAAGTTTCCTACTACCAAAGTGTTTGATGAGAACTGTGTAATGTCTTTGCTGGTTTTCCAATGCAGGATGCTGATCCTTGACTCTCTGCAGGGGCATCTGGGTCAGCAAGTGTATCAAGAGATCCATCAGACCACCACTAGGTAATGTATGAGAGTGGAACTTAATGAAAGCCTTTATTAAACTGTTTAGAAACATGACAACCGTATCTTATCTGAGTATTATGTATCACAGTTGCATTGTCCCACAAAGGCATATGGCACTTGCTGTCTAAATTTGAAAGTATTAATTTTTTTTAGTTAGTTCTAATTAACTTAACTGTTTCTCATTTATCCTGAAAATGCATGTATGACAAATGTTTGTGATTTGTCGGTGTATATTGAACCGTAATTTCACACTTAAATAAACCCAAAAAAACNTTTTTATAACCACTACTTTCAAGCCAGTACAACTTCAGCTGTTGGGACTACACACCAGCATTGTATATCATGCTCACATGAACTTTACACAAAATTCGACTTATGTTCACCACACAGTCATACTTTATATGTCATAAAAGTTTTCCAGATTTTGATTGGCTTTGAGAATCAACTCAATTCTCCGTTTACTTTTGCCCAGACAAAATAACATAATGTACCTCTGTCTGAAGATCTGATTTGATTAAGTTGTCATACGAATTGTTAGACAAGACTGTCTGCACTCCGTTAGGGAAATTACTCCATTTGTGCTGTTGGATCTTTTTTTTTTCCAGAATCCAATTATCTTGTAGGTTTTTCATGTATATAATTCTTTGATTCATCACTTCTCCAGATACATGAATCAGATTGCTCGGTGTGCTTGAAAGTCATTTAATTACAGCTTGGAGTTGGAGGTCTGTGAGGTAAGATTTATCTGTTGCAGTTACATCCACATTTCTAAAAATATAAGCACACGGTTGTTACAAAATACACTGCCCATTGTTTTATTTTTTTTATAGTTCCTTTCATAACTAAACTGCTCCATATATTAGATTTTGAAAGAAACATGGAACGTAGTGTTGCGGTCAGTGTAGGGTGAATAATGAATGTGGTTGATCCAAGCATGCTTGCTGAGCTATAGGTATCCGATCGGCCCTTATTATTGACAAGGTATTCATGGTTTTGGTTTAAGAAATAAAGTAGTGTTCATTGGGAATCTTAAATGTTTCTGTTTTGGAGTCATCTGTTGTACTTGGTTTGTCTGTGAACAGCATTATCTTAACAGTCGGCATGATTTCATTTATGTGATAAGTTAGGGGCGCATTACAATTAAACACTTCAACTACACTTGGTTAATCAAAGTGCGAAGTTCCATTAAACTTCTGCATAATCCTGCTGATCAGTAGCAGATTGTGATTTTTTGGATATTGTTGATTTCACTTTGTTCCTTGTTTATAGACGTCCTTGACCCACAACCTCAACAAATATCACATGTTGTGTTAGCTAAAAATTCTCTTCTTTTTTTCATCAGGTGCCGCAGCAGGAAAACCTGCATGATTGCGGTTTGCATGTTCTTGCATACATGGAGGCCTTTCTAAATGTGAGTACTTAGTTTGTATAGTGGTGAAGATGGATGAAGAAATAAGTAGGATTTACGTGACAAACAGCACGGGATGGCATTTTTTGGCATTAAAGGAAATGACACGCTTCTGAGTGGAACTTTGATGTCTGTTATCCAGTTGTATGTCCACAGGAAGGGAGACCTGGATACTGCAGGGGTATACAAAATTCAATCATTCTTGAAAATGAGAATATGTTATTATCAAAAACCTTGGTTTTGCTCCGGTAAAATTGATGAGACAAATGCTCCGACTATTAAGCAGTCCTCGAAATAACTAAGGAAGACCCGTTTTTGGCCTGTATCATGTTATTGGGGAAGTGGCAGTTTTATACATGTGGTGTTTGTTTTCCCCAAATTAGGTTTTCTGGTTTGGTTTGTTGCTGTTATTAGGATGGACTTCATCAGCTGACACCCGGACCATATGGAAAGGTTATGCGGAGAAGGATCCTCCATCTTTCTCATGATGTCGGCACCCAGTCCGTCCCTTAATTGATAATGCCACACTATATAATATTGTTATGTTCGTTATGTAATTGTTACATTAGATACAGTGGTTTGAAGAATGTGTAAATGCATTTGCAGCCTCCCATGAAACTTATTGGAAAAAATTAAATCGAAGGGAAAGCAAAGTTTAAGTAAAGTTTTCTGGAATTCTGGGGATGGGTGTTCGCTTAATGATCCTTTGCATGCAAACACGTATTGCGAATTTTCCTCATCACTGTTTTGTTGATGTATTTTCAACAAGTAATGTACAGCAGCCAATGATTATTTCATAAAATTACGCCAACATGAACAGTCACGAATTGCCTTCAGTAAATTGTTCATGCAAATGTCCCAACATCAGAATGGAATAGTGAACCTGTGACGAGATTTCGTCATAAAAATAGAACAGTACTTAATTTCAGGAAGGGTAAACAGTGCAGCTGGAAATGACAGTAACGAGTGCTTTGATTAAAGGGTGATACATAATGCTGGCAGCTCTTATAATTTTCTTTTGATAAGAACAAGGCATATCGTTGGTTGGATACACGTGTCAATTCTCTTTTGTTAATTTTACCTTTGAAATGCCAATAATCAACAGTAAACCACTTAAAAGGTTATTTTTACAGTGTCGGCTTCCAACGTTACTTAATAATTAACTTGTATTGACGTATTATTTATTGTATAATAGCGGGTATGTAACAAGATAATGTTCAAGAGAAAAGGGAAACATTGCCAGCTTTACAAACATGATTGTAGGCCTACGCATCATGGGTGAGAGAAAGAAGTAGATGTGCTAGGTTGGATACATAAAACAAGTACAAAAATTTGCGAATACAGTTGCATAAAAGTGTGTGCATTCGTGAGAGAGGTCCTTGTAACAGGAACATGTTATCATGAATAAAAGTAATTTCGCTTTCCAAGCAGAACCTTGTATAAACAGTGTTCTTTAGTCATTGAACTGTACAACGAGCATTAACCGCTTACGTGATATCTCTAACCCCAAATCCCTTCAATTGCTAGTGTAACTCTGCATGCACATCACGTACCATGCACAGGCCCGTTAATACAAGTTATATGACACTGTCCTAGTGACGATCGGTTTAGATCCGGTGAGAATTACGGGATACATTTTGTGTTGTACATATACATTTCACACTTGAACTTTTACAGCCCCACCACCAAGTGTTGAAACTTTTGAATCGTGCACACACCGTTATCTACAACGATGATAAACCCAGATGCCGGATCAGCCATACTAGTGGTGTGATGCGTCTGTCTGGACGTATTCGGAAATCATTGTAGAACGACGAATATCGTCGCTCTTTAAAAAAAAACAACAACAAACAGGTCGTTGCGGTCCAATCGGTAGGCTACGGAGCCGGAAGAGAGTTCAATATAAATGTACAGGCAACACTTGATGCTCGGTGCACAGTTATAAGCCTACGAGACTCTTATGGAAAAAAAATTGATTGAAATTATTTCAGCTTCGGAATTGTTGTAGCCAAATTTTTAACCAGTTTTTGTTCCCAACATTGACTTGTTAGGAGGAAAAAATGCAAGTCGTTTATTTAGAAGACAGAACTATTCAGACCAGTCCCATACGGTTTGTGCACAAATGACGTCCGTAATTCCTTTCTCTTTTTTTTCAATTTCTAATGGCTATTATAACATTTTAAAGGAAACTTATTGTCGTCCAGAAGGTGCCCATGGTGGATGATCAAGTGACTCCTCCGAAACTCCCAACTCTCTTCAACTCTTACCAGAGAAACCTATTCTAGGGTCGACAAGATACAGAACGCATTCTAACCTGGAATAGAGTAGGTAGGCCTACAAGAAGTTAAGTATTACCCCTGGAAATCTTGACAAACGCGAAGCAGTAAAATCATGACACAGGTATTTGTTTTTCTAATAAGACCCAATATAAGAAAGCCTTTTTGCTTTCGTGAAACTTTCTAAAAGTAAATTATATTATTTGTTTAAATTATGTTTGTTCGGGACACGCTTTCTCCAGTTCGTTTTGATTTATACAAGCCTTGTTTCTATGTCAGGGTATGAACCATTTGTTACATTTTTAAAAAGAAGTATGTTGCTCAGGCAAACATTTTCAATTTTAACTGTCACATACACTTAGAGCTTTCGATTCATTTCTCAATGGGAAATGGAATAAACGTGTCTGCTTAGAGATCTTACAGGAACAAACTGGAGAATCTCTCGAACCAACGCACATGTGAAAATGTAGTTAATGATAACAAACTTTTAAAAATGATACTTAGCAATTTGAATGTTTTATTAAGATGGCACTCTGTGGCTTTCGTACGGAGCTACAAAATTTCCATCTGACTTAATTGTAAAGAGGTCCTCAACTGCAAAACCCTAAAAGTTTGATGACGACATATAGAGATAGTTTCACGGAATGACAACATCATCGAAGTTGGGTAAAAACACCTTGAGACTGCGGGATGAAGACAACCAATGGCACTTTCAGAGCTCCGTCTTACGGTTTTGGTCTAAATACTTTTATTTCATCGTTGGCGACAATGTCGCTAATATTAATTTGACACAGAAACATCCCAATCACCGCATCATAATGTTGATAGTAATTTTGTATTTCAAGATTGCTCATCGTGTTTGTTGTCAGAAAGTCGAGGCTTTTCCGCAAAATTCACTACCCCTTATATTTATCCAGTTTCCAGTGTCCCTATCCCTGGATACCCGATCGACGTCTATTCCACAAGTCTCCCATTTAATGATGATTTTCAGATCCTTTTTGCTTCTTGGCCGAATTCTGATTTGAGCAATAAAAATTATCTTTTTATCTGATTTTATTCCTCCAAATTAGGAAATTTTATTGTTTGCATTGGTCAGGAAACAACTATAGGCCGTCTATATCACGAGTACTTCATGAATTTAATTTGTTGTAAATGACTTCCAAAACAGCTTCACAGCGGTTCTGACGGACACATTCAAGTTAACGTTATCGCCGTTGTACATCAAGTCTCGTTTCAATTGTAGAAATATTTCAATGTCATTGATATGCGAATTCTAGCGTCGAGCTCAATTGGCAGGGCTTGGTTTTGTCTGATTTCAAATAAACATTCATTGGTGCACTCTGTTTAGGTCTAGCTCTCGCATGGTAACGATTTCCTTGTTTAATTGGGTGTAAATCGTAATTTGTACACTTCGATATTGTAAACCTTTATTTGAAATTACAATAAATAAAAAATGACTGCAGAGATCTTGAAGTGCCATAAGATATGTGTTGAGATCATCGAAATGGCAAACCGTTAATAACGTCGATAAGTGAAAATTTTGAGAGATTTTTCCTAACCTAATTGGGGGATTTTCAAGTCTGTTAATTTTTATGACATTTGCAGATTAAATTGTATGCATTTACGGATTGTCAGGAATCAACCGACAAACTGCAGACTTGGAACAGTTGCAGGCTTNAACGGCATAAGAAAAAAAACGGCATGCTTCAAATCTTGAACCATGGGGAAAAAATGTAACCGAATTTTTTTGGCCATGTAGAAATGAACAAAGTAATTCAAATATTTGGACAAATATCGAAGAAAACATAATTTTTGTTATAATTTTCCCTATTTAACCCTGAACGTTTGTCAAAAGTTTCTTCGTTGTGCGTTTTGCCAAATGCTTGCATTTACAAATTTCACCCACACTCTTTGCGTTACACTATTACGCGATTAAAAATGAGTCGACGCAAAATTACCTGAAACCCGTGGACCGTGTATTAATCTTGATGTATGATATTGGTTTGGGCTACGGATGTTCGAAATTCAAGTTTTGAAAGAACTGTGCGCGATGGTCCGAAGGGGTACAGGCTAAGCAGCTCCTCATGCATTCTGTTAATTAAATTAAACCGTTTATAATGCATAGGAGCGGAAACACCCCATCATCGGTTGGAAAGAGCCACTTTGGTCCGGATTATCAATTTGTTTGGCAGCGATGAGATTGCAGCACATTCGTTTACTGCTCGTTTGTGAACCAGGGAAGCAAAGTTGCATGAAGGGATGCACTGAACTAATTCAGGCTCCATTACAAAAATGCAAAACCATTAAATTTTAGAGCCCCATGTAAAAGGCAACCGAACTCCCTGAGGCATCTAAAAAAAGCCTTGTCTGATCCTTCAGGTTGCATTTGGTTTTCCATTTTTATTAGGTTGACGAGTGAATTTTTAAATTATCTATCAAAATTGACCTCGGCCCCCCAATGTGAATGTTCCCAAAGTGTCTCCGCAGCCATTTCTCAAACGACAATCCTCATTTTTTCAGGCTCTCTTGACTAATTTTCAATCACATTTTTTTCTGCTTTTCCTCCAGATGGTTGCCCCTGAATCCACACAGATAACCCTGGGCTAAATACTTACACAACTCAACAGTATCTCGATAAATACGAACCCCTCTTTTTGACACATTTGCAGAAGTAATTTTTAAGCGTCAACGTGTGGACGATAATTTCCTGGAATTGCAACAGTGCAACCACCAGAGACTTGCCGGAAACAGCGCCCTCATCAATACCGCCCTCTGGGACCAGCTTGAGAGCCTGGGCCACGGACGTATATTAAAAAACCTGGACTTGCAACGCCTTTGTATGAAATAGAAGCCAACCAGCGGCCATTTTACCGATCCGCATACAAATGCGAGGGTTGGCTCGCTACCATTGACGCCAGGGAGAACAAAGGCGGGCATTGCTGGGCAAGCTTTGTATTCGGCTCGGTAAAATGGCTGCTAGTGGATTCAATGATCTCTATAAGCTGATCAAGGGCATTGCGAGTCCAGATTTTTTTTATATACGTCCGTGGCCTGGGCCCCTGACCATTTTGAAACCCCAAAGTCATCAATACCCAGGCCCACTCCGGGCTGAAGTCACATGCTCGATTGCGACCACTGCATCTATAAATAGAGCTCTGATTTTTCAGAGTCATAAGCTGCAGTTTACTGTGACCACTTTGTCATTTTTTAAATAAATCAATATTAATCAGGTATATTTACAACATAGAAGATGTACATTGAGTAGGCCCATCTTAATTGTCTGCCCCATGAAAAAAGGCAGCTTTCAAATCTTTTTAGGCAGAAAGCGCAGTAGGCAAGTTATTCTTATGTATTATGATTCTGTGAAAGCATGCTTCAATTTTATCGTCAGCTTCTACTAATTTGAAATAAACGGAGTGATGATTTTTCCCTTGTTTAAAGTCTCATTACAGTCGACTCTCGTTATTACGAAATCCCCGGGACCACGGACATGCACGTGTATGCGTGTATATTAACGCGTGGTTGATGTTACATCAAAAAGATCTCTCGGTTGTAATTAATCTAATATATTGTGATGTGTTTAGAATATTAAAATTCACTGTCAAATGAAAACATGTTTAATGTGCATGTGAGATTTATAAAAGCAAATACATGTACACGTGCATGTGAAAGCATCGATTCAGGGATTTTTAAAAGGATGTCGATTACCATGGATGACGACTAAGCTAAACGCCATGCACATATAGGCCTATGTGTACCTGCAAGAATGTGAAGATTCATCAAGTGGAACCCACATGCATGTAAGTGGTCTTTCCAACAGAAATTGTGTCATGGAGAGACATTTTTATATAATTTTCCGTTTGTCTTACGATTTTCGACACTAACTGCATGGCACGATAGTCCGAGTTCACTCGCCTACTTCCGTGCGGCCGCCCACGCGCAAGATGATCTGAAGGATCATGGGTCGAGTTCGGGCGGCCTGTTCTTGACACGGGTTTCTTGTTCTCGCGCTCGAACGGCGGGAACACGACTCAAGAACACTCTTCTCGGAACAGGATCACACACCACCTCCTCGTCAGGGTTTTACAGGAACACAAGGAAAAACGCGTGAGATTTTTATTTTTGAACAGCTGCAAAATGTAGACAGATGGCTTCCAAACCCATAGACCATGTAGACAATGGGAAGTTTGCGAAATTAACATTAATTATTTTCCGAAACACAGAAATGAATGTTCCTGTTTATATAGAAAAGAATTCAGCCCATCCAAACCTTAACTCTGGAATAACGTACATGGACGCCGCCGTGTTGCATGTAATAACCGGTTGTTTGTTCCCGGCGTTCGAGCGGCCGACCCACGAACAACAAATCAAGCTATTCGTGAACATATACATACGGGAACAAGCCGCCCGAACTCAGCCATGATGTCGTGAAGGAATATTGCGATTGGATAGCTGTGTCTCGCAAAATGTAAATTGTGACAACGCACAGTCTCATTGGCCGGTTTGCTAGGTCTTTTGCAGCGATATGAATAATTCAGTGGATTGGGCAATTAGTTGGGCTCTTGTGGTGCGAGAGTAGTTAAGTGAACTTTTTTGGCCGATTTTTATCAAAATGGGGAAGGGGATTTGTGTTTTATGTTTGCGTAATCAATGTAAGAAATCATTGATTTTTTAATCGCTCTTTACGTTTGTCATGACTACAGGCTAAATACAAGCAAACCACGCTCTCCTCTCATCTAGAGTTCCCAAGAAACATTAAACTGAACTAAGTGACAATGGGGAAATCCCAAGCGTACTGCCCACTAAAAGAGCTCACTTTTAGGTCATACCTTAATGTTGTTCACTGCACCATAATTGTGATTAACCTTGTGGTCTTAAGACCGAAAAAAAAAATTTTTACAACTTGAAATATACACGTACAACTTGTGATACGCACTGAGTTATCAAAATATGAACCGTTCTAATCTCTGGCCCGGCATAAGTTGATAAGGGACTACTCGCAACAGTTCAAAGAAAACAAATAACACAATGGATATTAAAAAGCACAATGTGTTTATTATTCTGAGAACAGCATGTATATTCTGTCATTTAAACACGAAAGCAGCAAACGTAAAATGGGTTTGCAAACTAGTTGGCAGTGATTTTATTTATAAGCACAAGGAAGTTCTCAAACAATTTGAATAAATTCCTACATGTAGTGAAGTTGTACATGTACTGACAGAAGCCACACAACATTGTTCCTCCATACCCCTTCTCAAACTATTCTCCTTAACAAAGTCATACGAGAACGGAAATAGCTAGCATTGTTTGAGTATGTGGCAAAATAGGTACATGTGGAAAATGACTATGACCTCGACGATATACATGTTTACTGAACAATAACAATAATAGGGTTTTGACACATATCCACATTGGTTCATAGTCTTTCAGTTTCTCAATTACAAACGTTATTAGGATTTTTTATTTTGAGGTCGTTAAGTAGTGCAGTAAAATGTTTTGCAGACTTGTTGTCCGCCTTGTTTGACCAATTCATCAAAAGATACACTACATTAAACTCCCAACAATGGAAACATTTCAAAAAGCATTTTCCCAGATGAAGCTAATGAATGTGAACCTGTCATGTGGTCGTCCTTGGACGGCAGATAAATTTTAGGGATCAGGGAATGGCATAGTGACTTCATCAGTGACATCACCGGATGAGGCTTTTAAGATGAATTGTTGAGGAACGGTGTTGTAAACATACAATTTTCATCTAGTTTTGACTTTCAAACTCAAAAAATCATTCCGGAATGCAATTATCTTACCACAACCCCATAATTTTTCCAGTCCTTATAGTGAAATAGGTCTGGCTTATATCATTTCGCCTTTTTTTAGTCTTCGGGTATATTATTTAATGTATATCAATATCAAAATGTTTGAAATCTGGACGTCATGGAACCGCTTGTATGAAATGCTTGACGGAGAAAATGTGAGACTCCAAATTTAAGCAAGTCATCTATATGCATTATTTTCTATTAACTTCTCGGCAACAACACTCACTTGTCTCAAATGTGCACTTTCCATATTACATAACTTAAAGAGAATTTCAAATACGCTGTACATGCATTTTGGATATACCAAAGAGTAGTGAAAAGATGAATCAACATCAAGTTGAAAAGAAATTCATTCCACAGCCATTTCAAGCAATCAATTTACAGCAGCATGGCACATACTTTCGGGTTCTTCTTAAAGTGATGAGAGAGAAGAGTACAACCATGGAAAGGAAAATTGGGCAATATTCATATGGCAACATCTCCATAGTGAACTTAGTTTTTGGAATCCAAAAATTAGGTTTGCATTTGTCTGCTGGTTTAGCTTTACAAATCGTGTCTGTAGAAATTGTTGCTAATGCATGCAATTTAAATTTGCCAGATTTTCTTAACCCTCCATCNATTAACAACATTGACAAATTTCAGGTGGACTAGACTTTGATACAGAAGGTAAACTTCTTTTACTTTGGACTCAGTTTTTTTGAGTTTCTCCACCACATGAATACTCGACAATGCCAAAGAAAGTTGTCCTGTTTCATGTATGAAATCTGCACCTTGATACGCTGGAGACTTGCATTCATTTGCTCTGCAACTTGACTGTTCAGCATCTTATATTGTGGGTAAGCATCAAGTCTATATCCACTTGAACATGCTGAAAATGCACAAAGAGAAAGAAAGACAAATGTCAGATGAGTAAAAGTTACATTTGATGTCGGGCAAGACAACTAAATAAAACCATCACAATTATCACAGCACTTCATAGTTCTGTTGAAGTGGTATTTTCAAGGAACATTTGACAAAATCAAAAACAAATACAGCTAAACTTTAACAAATTAAACTTCTCGAGGTATTCTGTACTACGGACAAGCACAACAATTACCTGTATGATAAGGCCAGTGCAAACTGTCGATGAGGAACTTTGCGTTTCGAAAATGGCGAGGTTCTCGGTTAAGACAATATGAGTGCAAGTGGCAAGCGTTGTCATACATAACGACTGCAGGAGCTGAAAAATATAGAAACAAAATAAAAAGAGTGCAAAAAGTTTGTGCGTTAACACCTCTGATTAACTATTACAGAGTGACATTCAGCAAAATTCAGCACAGAACTGGAAGTATCGCACGTAAGCTCAGACCCAGCCAAAAAAAAGTCCTTATAAATTTTAAGAATATTCTACAATAAGAACAGCTGTTGGAAAACTCTGAAACTTACTGGATGAAGAATCCATTAAATTCATATTAGCACTGCACAATCTATAAGTCTCTAACACAACTTTCTTTTGAAATAACCCCCCCCACCACTTCCATCCTTTGACATAGATGGTCTAAACACCTACAGTAGTCATGGGAAAAAAACCTGCAAGGAATTTCTCTTTGGGCAGCTGCAATCAATTTCTCTAAGACCAGGACGGACCTACAAAGTGCATTAATGTGTTGCTAAAAGGTATTTTGAGGGTTATTCCAATGCATCTTT